GATGGGTGCCCGCCCAGGTGCTGCTCACGTTACTGCTTCAGAAGCCTGCAGGAGGCCACCGCCCGATATGGCTTTTTTCGGCACTCTATAGGCTGTGGGCTCGCGCTCGGCGCCCTTACGCTGAGCGATGGGAAGCCGAACATCAGCGTCTCTATTTGGCTTCAGGCTCTTTCAATTCAGCCTCGGATGTGGTGTATCGTCAGGGAGCAAAGAGTGAACATATAGTCGGTCGAGGGATGAGCTGTTGTACAGTCTTGTGGGACCTATATAAGCTCTACGAAACGATTCGACTCCCCAAGCTCCTCGACCGTTGCCAGTTGCTCGATTTCCCGATGCAGATCGCCAGAGTATCTTATAGGGCTTATCGTGGGGCTCGTTTCATATCGCTAGGAGGTCTCCCTCATGGACCTCACTTCGCCACGCATGGGGTGGTTGCTGGTTGTAGCATAGCGACATCGTACGTCAGGGTTTACATCATCCCAACCGTGGATCCCATCAGGCTCCCCAAGCAGGTCTCCTTAGATATTTATATAGACGACTGTGGGCTGTCGAGTTCGGGGACTTCGAAATCGGTCGTGTCGTCTTTGAAGCGGGCCTCGGTGGACCTCCTGGTGGCCCTGGAGACCGATATGGAGGCTACCATATCTACCGATAAGGCTGCAGTAGTGGCTTCGCACGCCGACGTAGGCCAGGAGATGAAGTCGTTTCTCGGAGCGTACGGCGGCCCCTCGGCGGACACCAGCTCTGCTATCAACCTTGGGGTCGACGACGGAGCTGGACAGGCTCGCCGCACCAAAGGTCGGGGTAGGAGGCTCAGGCTAGACAGGCTCAGTTCAGAGCACGTTGCCGACGGGTGCTGAAGGCTCGTCAAGCTCTAGGCCGACACGCTCGCAGGATTTTTGTTTCAGGGCCGCTGGCATCAGTTACTTACGGTTCAGATGTTTATGGAGTTTCTGATTATGGGTTGGGAATGTTACGTTCTGGCTTTGGGAAGTCTGTCAAACCTTCGGCGGGGTCCAGGTCCCTTACTTCGCTGTGTATTCTGGAAGGGGACCCAGCTTATCATGCCGCCATTTCTCCGATTGCCAGATATTCCAGGGAATTGTGGGATGTCCAGGTTCAGCAGACTCCCTCTGCTCTAGGCTTCGCGGGGCTACGCGACGCTTGGACTCAGACGTGGGCCGACCCGCCAGCTGCGTGGCGGCAGGTGCGGGGCCCCATAGGTGCCATGTTTCTGTCCCTCAAGCGCATCGGCTGGAGCATGCCCAGCTACGCGCAGATGACGAACGACCTTGGCGTCACCTTCTCTCTCACGACCTCTTCCCCCAAATTGATCAAGAACCTTCTGCGGGAAGCTGTCATTCGTCAACTGTGCAGGCTGCCAGGCGAGAAGCTCGGAGTTGGTGCCAGGCTCTGCTACGATTCTGTGATTCGCGACCTCAGCAGTTCGAAATACACGCCGTTCGAGAAAGGCTCGATCAGAGCCAACGTCTGCGGTGCCTGCTGGACCAAGGAGCGTGCGACCCAGTGTGGTTATCAACTCCAGGACACGAGTTGCGCTTTGCGCGGCGGGCCCTCGGACTCGATTATCCACAGGCTTTGGGTTTGTCCTGACCCTGAGGTCGCGGAGCTCAGACAGGAAATTGTAGATCCCGATGTTTTGCAGGCGGCCAATGAGATTGACCCTGCTTCGTGTTCCATGGAGGACTGGATTTTGTTCACCAAGGGTCTCTTCCCACATCCTGGGGACCTTCACCCCCGTCCTGTTCCCGAATGTGCTCCAGAGTTTCGTTGGGAGGTAGATCAAGAACACGAAGATGAGCAACTGTTTTCTGGTTCTTGTGTTTTCATGGATGGTTCTTGTCAGAAGCACGTAGTGAAAGAATTAAGCAGGGCAGGGTGGGGCATAGCGGTTTTCGATTCTCAGCAGGTTTTGAAGCTTAGAGCCTGGTCCCCCCTGTGGGATCGGTTTCCCCAGACCCCTCAGGCGGCCGAGTTCGGGGCTCTAGCTTATTCTAGTCTTTGCCTCACTGACCCTGCTCCAGGTTACACAGACTGTCTGAATGTGTGTAGGGCCTTTAAGTTCGACCGTTCTAAGAAGCTGTCGTACAAGAGGCCTTACTCGGGCCTCATGATTAATGTTTTGGGGGCCCGTTTTTCTGATTTGATCAAAGTGAAGGCCCATGTGGCCGAGTCGGACGATCTCTCCCCCGAAGAGCGTTTCTTTAAAATCGGGAATGACGAGGCTGATCGATCAGCCAAGCTTGGGGCCGCTGCTCACCCCAGGTGTACTAATGAGCAGCAGACTAAGCTTGATTGGCAGCTCAAGGTGTCGCGCACAGTCTCGCGCCTGGCGGCCAAAGTTTTCGTTTCTTGGCCCCGTCTGGACCTCGCAGACGTTCCCTACATCGCTCCTCTCGCCCTCACCGCCTTGGGGCTGAGATGCCTGAGGGAGAGCATGTCTGGGTGTGGGTCAAGTCTTTTTGGAGGTGCAATCGTTGTCTCAGGTTTCGCAGGCAAGCAGCGCGCCCCTCGTGCGAGGGCTGCGCAGGAGACCTGCCTCTGGTTGCCCGTTCTGTGATTGAACGGGGTCATTCGTGTCTGGCGCTCGAGTGCTCGAACGATCAGATCTTAATTATCTGCACCCGCTGCAAAGCGTTTTCGACCCTCGGACAACTTAAGCAGCTCCGCCATGAGTGCACACGCCCACTCGCAAAGGCAGCGGAGTATTGGTCCAGGGTGAAGCGCGGCTGGCACCCGAAGGAACGCATTCGGGTGGAGACAATCCCCATCAGGGAGTAAGGCTGGTGGCTGGCAGGGCGCTCGTCAAAACTCCTTGTCCTCCTCCTCCTCCTTCTCCTCGTCCTCCTGCAAATCTCTCCGGGGCGCACCAACCCGCCCGCGCACCCCCCCCGTTGCCAGCGTTGAGTGGCTAGCCGTATTGGTTTGGCCAGGGGGTTGGAGACGGTAATTCTTAGACATGCTAGTAATGCTTCCTTTGGGGTGTAGCCCCCAGAGTGGTGGAGGAAGGGGAGGACGTGAGGAGGACGGGTATGATGTTGAGGATATGGATGACGATGGTGATAGTGTTGGTGATTGCGATGGTAATGATTTGGATGATGATGATGATGGTAATGATGGTGATGATAATGGTGATGATGAAGATGATGATGACGATGCTGCTGATCGTGGTGATGATGCATGTGATGATGATGATTGTGATGATGATGATGATGATGAAGATGATGAAGATGATGAATATGATGTCATGGTGTCATGGTGTCATGGTGACCCTGATGCTGACGATGAGGGTAACGATGCTTTGATGATGATGACGATGCTGATTTTGGCGATGATGACCACGATGGTGATGATGCTGTTAATGACGACGACGATAATGATGCTGATAAAGATGATGCTGAGTTTGATGATGATGACGAGTATGATGATGAAGATGGGTGATGCTGATGATGACGGTCATGATGGTGTTGTTGATGATCATGGTGAAGATGCAGTTGTTGATGTTGATGATGTTGATGATGAATATGCGCATACTTATGGTGATGATGATCATGAACATGATGATGGTGACGATGATGAGGATGATGATGATGATGTTGATGATGATGATGATGATGATGATGACGATGCTGAGTCTGCTGATGCTGATGCTGACGGTGGCGATGATGATGCTGATGTTGGTGATGGTGATGCTGATGCTGATGCTGGGAGCGTTCTGGGCGGACTTGGCGATCTTGGCGGCCTCCTTTGTTGTCCTGGGTGGTCAGAAGCCAGAAAGTGCGGCAATGCCAACACCTACCAAAAACCTCAAACACATCAATGGATGTTGCCTCTTGGGGCCCTCCTTGAGCTCCTCTTGGAGCTCTCCAGGGCCGTTTTTGGCGCCTCTGGAACCGTCTGGAAATCATACAGTGGAGACCCATGCCGAGAAGCACTCTGCTTGCCTCCAGGGTGCCCTGGGTTTCTTGGGCTTCGATGGTTTTGCGAAGGAAAGCGTGGCGCCCCCACACCAAAAATCAATGGACGTCTTGGGTTCTCTGGTTTGGATTTCTTGTGGAAGGTTTCTTGTGGACTGGCCTCCACTGTATTTGGCAATCGTTGCGCGCTCTTGGCCTGAAGCCGTTGGGCCTGCCACCTCCTTGGCGCCACCCAGGGGCGCTCCTGGGGTCGCTCGGAGAGCATCGAGGGCCGCGCCCAGGAGATCCAGCATTGTGGCAGACGCTCAATGGAGAGGGGGCATGTTGCCCAAAAAATTGCCAGCCAGATGTCTAAAGCATGATTGAACATACGTCTCTGAATTGCTAGAACATGTTCTAAACATTATTCGAACTCGTTTGAAGCATATAGCAGACATTTCAATGACATGTTTTGTTCAATGATAGAGCGGATAATAGAGTGTACATTGTCATGGCATCCACAATTCCAGCATTCCTGACCGCGACCCAGCCTGGGGACTCTTCGCCCGCTAGCTAGAGGTATCAAGGGCCTCTGATTCGAGACTTTGGCACGCTTTTGGCCCGCTGGGCTGGCGAGTTGCCATCGATCCGCGACCCACCACGAGCGACGCCAACCCGACACACACCCAGGACCCTCCCACGATCCGTTCGGAGGGCTGTTCTGAATCGGCTCGGGGGAGCACGGGTCGCCTGCGATCCGCCGACGACCTCCCTCCCAGTGGCCTTCGGACTCTTGGAAGAACATTGCCCAATCTCGCCCCCCGCGCGACCCGGTCGTGACCCGCGCTCGCCGAGACCTTGCGGGGCCACATGTATTTCGGGCGCCGAAGTCGGACACTTGAGGAACACGACGTGGCCAGCAGCAGGATCATGGGCCAACCGGCCTCGATAGTGAGGTGGCCCTGCGACCTTGGCGGTGGTGCCAACCTGCGGGCGTCCTGCACTGGCGGCATGCAGCTGTCTGGGAGCGCCTTGCCGCGATCCCGGACCACCTCCCTTCCAATCTCCACACCTAGCTACTGCTATTCTTCGCCCTACCGACCTGCTTCCCCCAGCCCCGATTTCTGCGTTTGAAGGGCCTGGCGTGGCGCTAGCAGCTGCCTGCTCTGTTTTCCAGCAAACGCTGGTTCGACGGTGGCTTCTGCGCCTACGCAGGCAAACTTCGACATTTTCGCCGACATTTCAGCACTCGCGTGCACTGCGAATCCCTTCGCTCAGACCACACTGTGTCTGGAGCTACTTTCCCCCACCCCACCACCTCTCCCTCGCTTCAGAAGCCTCCTGCTCCTCCCCCATCTTTGCGGCGCCCATGCCATGACCCGTGGACGACTCGGGCTCGCCCGCCCCAAGCACGAATCAGGAGGAAAAGAAAGCCACAGACACAATTAATCGTCGACTCCCAGGAAAATGTGTGTCTATGTCTTTGTGTGTCCCTGGGCCCCATTCAACGAAGTTCCTCGACACCGCCCCTTGTCGGTCGTTTTCGTCGGCGGCGGCGGCCTGCGGCCTGCGGATCCAGCTCGGCCTGGACCTCAGACCCCCAATGGCCCAATGGCGCCGCGCCTATGGGGCGGCTCCGGGTGCTCGGCCGGATGATCTACAGGACGTGTCTTAGCTTGATGTGTTAGCTTCGAGCGGAAGAGGTGCGCTCTCGACCCGCGAATCAAAAAAGTGTTAGTTTGATGTGTGTGTGTGCGCGCGCGTGCGTGCGTGCGCGCGTACGTTTGCGCGTGTGTGTGTGTGTGTGTGCGTACGCGTGCGCGCGTGCGTGTGTGTGGGTGTGCATGTGTGCGTGTGTGTGTGTGTGTGTGTGCGTGCGTGCGTGCGTGCGTGCTTGTGCGTGTGCGTGCGTGTGTGTGTGTGTGCGTGTGTGTGTGTGTGCGTGTGTGCGTGTGTGTGTGTGTCTTTGTGTTTGTGTTTGTGTGCGTGTGTGTGTGCGTGCGAGTGCGTTTGCGTGTGTATGCGTGCGTGCGTGCGTGCGTGTGGTGGGTGTTCTGTGCGTGCGTGCGTGCGTTGAGTGCGTGTGTGTGTTCATGTGTGTTTGCGTGTGTGTGTGTGTGTGCGTGTGCGTGTGTGTGCGTGTGTGTGTGTGTGCGTGTGTATGTGTTTGTGTTTATGGTTGTGTGTGTGTGTTTGTGTGGTGTGTGTGTGCGTGTGTGTGTGTTTGTGTGTGCGTGCGTGCGTGCGCGCGTGCTTGCGTGCGTGCGTTCGTGTGTGTGTGTGTGGGTGTGCGTGCGTGCGTGCGTGTGTTTGCGTCTGTTTGTGTGTGTGTGCGTGTGTGTGTGTGCGTGTGTGTGTGTGTGTGTGTGCGTGTTCGTGTGTGCGTGTGTTTTCGTACGCGTGTGTGTTGTGTGTGAGAGAGCGAGTGGGTGCGTAAGCGCGTGTGTGTGTGTGCGCGTGTGTATGTGTGTGTGGTGCGGACGCGCGTTGTGTGGTATGGTGTGTGCGTGTGTGTGTGTCTGTGTGCGTCTTGCGTGTGTGTGTGTGCCGTGTTGTGAGTGTGCGTGTCCGTGTGCGTGTGTGCGTGTGTGTGTGTGCGTGCGTGCCGGTGCGTGCGTGCGTGCGTTGTGTGTGTGGTGTGCGTGTGTGTGCGTGTGTGTGGTGTGGTGTGCGTGTGTGCTTGCGTGCGTGCGTGCGTGATCGTTCGCGTGTGTGTGTGTGTGTGTGGGTCTGTGTGTGAATTGCGTGTGTGTTGTGTATGTGTGGTTGTGGGGTGTGTGTGTGCGTTGTGTTCTTGCGTGCGTGCGTGCGTGGTGTGCGTGTGTGGTTGTGTGTGTGTGTGTGTGTCGTGTGTGTGCGGGTGCGTGCGCGCCTGCGTGCGCCGTGCGTGCGTTCGTGCGTGTCGCGCGGTGTGTGTGTGTGTGTGCGTGTGTGTGCGTGCGTGCGTGCGTGGGTGTGTGTGGGTGTGCGTGTGTGCGTGTGTGTTTGCGTTTCTGTGTGTGCGTGTGTGTGTGTGTTTGCGTACACTGTGTATGCGTGTGTGTATGTGTGTGCGTGTGTGTGTGTGTGCGTACACGTGTGTGTGTGTGTGTCCGCCTCAGGCCCCGCCTTCCTGTGCCTTGTCCACCTAATTAAAGCTGTGCGTCGCCCGCCTAACTTTTAGCGGAAGGGGTTTGCTCTCGCCCCACAGATCAACGAGTGTGTGTGTGTGTGTGTCTGTGCGTGTGCGCGTGTGTGTGTGTGTGTGTGTGTGCGTGTGTGTATGTGTGCGTGCGTGTGTGTGTGAGCGTACGCGTGTGTGTGTGCGTACGCGTGGGTGTGTGTGGGCACGACATGCGTAAGTTTTGTGTGTGTGTGTGCGTGTGTGTGTGTGCGTGTTTGTGTGTGTGTGTCTTCGGTCTGTGTGTGTTCGTGCGTGTGTGTGCGTGTGCGTGTGCGTTTGTGGCGTGGTGGGCGTAACCGTGGGTGTGTGTGGTGTGCGCGCGTGTGTTGTGTGTTGCTACGACTGTTGTGTGTGCGTGTGCATGGAGGGAGAGGAGAGAGAAGGGGTGTGGGCGTGTGTGCGTGTGTGTTTGTGTGTGCGGTACGCGTGTGCGTGTGTGTGTGTGTGTGTTTGCCTGGTGCGTGTTGTGTTGTTTGTGTGCGTGTGTGTGCGTGTGCGTTTGCGTGTGCGTGTGTGTGTGTGTGTGCGTACGCGTGTGCGTGTTGTTGTGCGTTGCGTGTGTTTGTGTTGCGTTTGTGTGTGTGTGTGCGTGGGTGTTGAATGTGTTGCCGTGTGTGCGCGTGAGAGCGGTGTCTGTTGGCTGTGTTGTGTGTGTGTGGTGTGTGTGCGTGCGCGTGCGTATGTTGGAATGTGTGTGTGTGCGTTCGTGAAATCCGCGTGTGCGTGTGCATATGCCTGTGCGTGCGTGGGTGTGTGTGTGTGTGCGTGTGTGTGTGTGCGTGTGTGTGTGTGTATGTGTGTGGGTGCGTGTGCCTGTAAGTGTATGTGAGTGTGTGCGTATGCGTTTGCGTGCGTTCGTGCGTGCGTGCGTGCGTGTGTGTTTGTGTGTATGTGTGTGGGTGCGTGTGTGTGTGTGCGGGTGATTGTGTGCGTGTGTGCGTGTGCGTGTGCGTGTGTGTGTGCGTGTGGGTGGTGTGTGTGTGTGTGTGTGCGTACGCGTGTGTGCGTACGCGCGCGTGTTGTGTGTGTGCGTATGTATGTGAGCGTACGCGCTGTGTGTGTGCTTGTGTGCGTGTGGCGTGTGTGTGTGTGTCGTGTGTGTGTTTGTGCGTGTGTTTGTGTGTGCGCGTGTGCGTGTGAGTGTCGTACTCGTGTGTGTGTTGTGTGTGTGCAGTGTTGTGTGGTGCGTGTGTGCGTGTGTGTGTGTGTACCTGTGTGCGTGCGCGTGTGCGTGTGCGTGCGCGTGTGCGTGTGTGTTCGTGTGTGTGTGAGGGTGTGTGTGTGTGTGCGTGTGCGTGTGCGTGGCCGTGGCCGTGGCCGTGTGCGTGCGCGGCTATGCGTGCGTGTGCGGCTGTGCGTGCGTGCGCGGCCGTGCGTGCGTGCGTGCGCGCGTTCGTGCGCGGCCGTGCGTGCGTGCGCGGCCGTGCGTGCGTGCGTGCGTGCGTGTGTGTGTGTGTGTGTGCGCGCGCGTGCGCGTGTGTGTATAAGTGTGTGTGTGTGTGCGTGTGTGTTTGCGTGTGTGTGTGTGTGCGTGAGTGCGTGAGTGTGTGTGTGTGCGTGAGTGCGTGAGTGCGCGTGTGCGTGTGCGAATCCGCGCGCGTGTGCGTGTGCGTGCGCGGCCGTGCGTGCGTGCGCGGCCGTGCGTGCGTGCGGCGTTTGCTGCTGGCCGTGCGTCGTGCCGCCGTGCGTGCTAAGACACCCGGCCGTGCGTGCGGTGCGTGCGTGCGTGCGTGCGTGTTGTGTGTGTGTGTTTTCCTTAGTGCGTGAAGTGTGGCGTGTGCCTGTGCGTGTACGTGTGTGCGTGTGCGCGCACTAGCACGCACGGCCGCGCACGCACGCACAGGCGCGCGCACGCACGCACGCACGCACGGCCGCGCACGCACGCGCGGCCTCGCACGCACGCGCGGCCGCGCACGCACACGCACACACGCAAACGCACAGGCACACGCACACTCACGCACTCACGCCCTCACACACGCACAATTCACACACACGCACGACCGCGCACGCACGCACGCACGCACGGCGGTCACGCACGCACGCCGCGCACGCACGCACGGCCGCGCACGCACGCACGCACGCATCGGCACGCACGCCCCCGGTCACGTCACGCACGTGCGAGCACGCGACGACACAGCCGCGCACGCACGCACGCACGTACGTAGCGTGTGTGTGTGTGTGTGTGTGCGTGCGTGCGTGCGTGCGTTGCGTGGCGTGCGTGAGTGTGTCGTGTTTGGTGTGTGCGTGTGCGTGTGAGAGTCTGGGTCTTGCGTGTGCGTGTGCGTGTGCGTAGCGTGCGATGCGTGCTTGCGCGGCCGTTGCGTGCGTGCGCGGCCATGCGTGCGTGCGTGCGTGCGCGGCCGTGCGTGCGGGCGCGGCTGTGCGTGCGTGCGCGGTCGTGCGTACGTGCGTGCGTGCGTGTGTGTGTGTGTGTGAGTGTGTGTGTGTGTGCGTGTGCGTGTGTGTGTGTGTGGTTGTGCGTGTGGTGTGCGTTTCGTGGCGTGTGCGTGTGCGTGTGCGTGTGCGTGTGCGTGTGCGTGTGCGTGTGCGTGTGCGTGTGCGTGTGCGTGTGCGTGTGCGTGTGCGTGTGCGTGTGCGTGTGCGTGTGCGTGTGCGTGTGCGTGTGCGTGTGCGTGTGCGTGTGCGTGTGCGTGTGCGTGTGCGTGTGCGTGTGCGTGTGCGTGTGCGTGTGCGTGTGCGTGTGCGTGTGCGTGTGCGTGTGCGTGTGCGTGTGCGTGTGCGTGTGCGTGTGCGTGTGCGTGTGCGTGTGCGTGTGCGTGTGCGTGTGCGTGTGCGTGTGCGTGTGCGTGCGTGTGCGTGTGCGTGTGCGTGTGCGTGTGCGTGTGCGTGTGCGTGTGCGTGTGCGTGTGCGTGTGCGTGTGCGTGTGCGTGTGCGTGTGCGTGTGCGTGTGCGTGTCGCGTGCGCGTGAGGGTGCGCGTGCGCGTGCGCGTGCGCGTGCGCGTGCGCGTGCGCGTGCGCGTGCGCGTGCGCGTGTGCGTGTACGTGTGCGCGTGTGCCTGCGCTGCCGTGCGTGCGTGCGCGGCCGTACGTGAGTGTGCGGCCCTGCGTGCGTGCGTGCGTGCGTGCGTGCGTGCGTTGGTGCGTGGGCGCGTGTGTGTATATGTGTGTGCGTAAGTGCGTGTGCGTGTGCGTGCGTGCGCTGCCGTGCGCGGCCGTGCGTGCGTGCGTGCGTGCGTACCTGCGTGTGTTTGTGTGTGTGTGGTGTGTCGCCGTCCGTTTGTGTTTGTGTGCTTGTGTGCGCTACCCCGTCCAGCGCCACCCATGGATTATTACACCGCCTGCGTCTTATTGGTGGGGCTCCGAGGGACAAGCAAGCACGCTGGCGCTAGCACACGTTCTGAGGCTCATCGGCCGGCGCATACGGCCCCCCCGGCCTGGCCAGGGACGCGCGTGGGCCCGGCCGGGAGCGGCGCCAGGCGCAGCAGTTGCCGCCCTCCAAACGGAAGACGGCTCCGGTGCTCTCGGCAGAGCTGGGGAAACGTGAGACTCGAGTAAGCCAGAACTCGGGTTTGCCGACGTCTTTTGCCGAGCGCGTCCTGGATTTGGGCGGTCCAGGTCCCCTGGGATGTCTGCAGCAGGAGCCTCGGAGCCCACAAAGGACGTACGCGCCCAGCTATGTACATGAACACTGCCCCTCGATCTGCAAGACCGGCCGCCTGATACGAACTTTCGGGCAATGCGTACTCTCGAAACCAGCGTGGATTCATGTACGTGTACGTCCTTCTTTCGCTCCTGCGGAGCTCGCGTCAAATTTCAGACCGGGCATCGTCCGTCCAGCCCGAGTCCCCTGTGCCCGAGTCGCACGCCTCCCCGGCGGAGGGCTCCCGCCCGCCAGGCTGTACATCTCTCGGCGGCGAGCCCCCCGGGGGAGAAGCGAGGGAGGGGCGGGCCTTCTCGCGACGGCACGCACGGGGTGGCCCTTCGCCGGAGGGGCGCTTGGTGCGGGCTCATCGGGGTCCTTCCGATTCGGGGGTGGACAGACCTCCTACCTGACACGTCGATTAAGGAATTGGCCGTTTTCGGTTCGCGAGGGGGCGTCGCGGCCGTCATTTTTGCGGGTCCAGGTCCGTCGGTTTCGGTCCCAGGCCGTTTTCACTAAGGGGAGGTTTACTAAAGGGAGGTTTGTCCACCGCCGAATCGCTGAGCACGATGCGATTGCGGCTGCTTGCGCGCTTGGAGTTGGCCACCTTGCGCCCCATTAGTCCGCGCACCAAGGGTCACTCTTGGCGCGAGGGCATCTGAGAAGTCCCGCCGCATGCTGGGAAGGCCTTCTCCTCCTCGCTCCCCCCCCTCGCTCGCCGCCGACACCGGGGGTTGCTGAAGGTGCCCCTGGCCCAAGGTGCCCCCAGCGTGTCGCGCCGCTTTGGAGCCCCTTGGGGCCCTCTGGGCCTGGGGGCCTCCTGGGAGATCCTGGGGGCACCTTGGGCCAGGGGCACTTCTAGCACCACCCGGGCATACGGAGCACGTGTGTTCCGGCGCGATGAATGGGCGAGGGAGCAGGGGCGGTGGACGGGCGAACGGTGTTCTACGTGACGGTGTGGTAGGCTTCGGCATTGTCGGAGGGATCGGTTTTTGGCCAAGCCGATTGTAGGAGAGCGTGGTTCGCGCTCTCGTGCAATTCACTGTGTTTTTGATACGCGTCTATACTGTTTGAATGTAGGAGCGCGTGGTTCGTGATGTCCTGCATGTGTTCTTGCGCGCGTTCGGCGCTTCGAAAACCAGATTCCCTACCATGCCGCTAACCTGAAACGCCGTTAGTCTGGCCTTAGAGGGGTTCACGACTCCTGGGGCACCCATCCAGGTCTCCCAAGTGCGGTCAGAGGAGATGGTGTCCGAGGACCGCGCCCAATCGCCAATGCATCGGCGATGCGGCGCGATGTGGAGGCCCATGTTCTCCCACGCCAATGCTCCGCCGATGCTTTCGCGATGCGTTGGCGATGCGGCGCGATCCTCCGACCCCATCTGCTCAAGACCCAGCTTGGGAGGCTTCTAGCCCGAAAGGAGGGTGACGACCGGGTGGTCCGATAGCAGATCATGGGAGCCTCGCATGCCCTCGCAGCTCCGTCGTCAGAGTGCACCGGCGTGCGCCAGTGTATGGCGGTCGACTAGCGTCGATCCAGCGCCGGCCAGTGTGGACTGGCATCGGCTATAGCGCCGATCCGCAAGAGCCAGCAAGATGGCACGGGAGGCTCCCGTGGGCTGCCACAGAAAGTCGGGACGATCGAACTGGGTACGAAAAGAATGGGTACGATGCCCAACAGCATATCTTGCTCATTTTGAGCAGGACTCGCTGTTCGCGCCGCGGGTGTAATTCTTTTAAGCCAGAAAGCTGCCTGCTCCAGAGCGGCCGCTGTCGGTGTTGGACAACATCTGTTGTTGGGCATTCCGCCCACTTGTTTTCCGTACCCATGTCAGACGTCAGAAAGAAGAGTGGTTGGGCGGGGAGGGGGGGCCTTGCGCGGTGGCGAGGAAGCCGACAAACGGCCCCGTGCAGGTCGGCGGCGAGCGAGGGGGGGGGGGGCAAGTGAGAAGGAGCAGGCCTTTTGGAGCCCGGCTCTCTCCACGGCGAGGGCGGGGATACATCGCCAACGTCGCCGACGCATCGGCGGTGCATCGGCGGTGCGGCCCGAGCCTCCTCGCCGGGCACCCCGCTCGACAGGGCGAGGGGGGGAGAGGCGGGTCCCGGTGGGGAGCGCCGCGCCCCGCTCGGCCCCCCAGGAGGCCTGGAAGTCCCGCGGCCCTCTGAGAAGTCTGCCGCGCCTTCCCCCGAAGGCGCTGCAAAAAACTTGTCTCAGGAGGTGCGAGGGCCTCTGAGAAGGCCCGCCGCCTGCTGAGCAGGCCCTCTCCTCCTCGCTTCCCCCCCTCGCTCGCCGCCGACACACCGGGGGTTGCTGGAGGTGCCCCTGGCCCAGGGTGCCCCCAGCGTGTCGCGCCGCTTTGGAGCCCCCTTGGGGCCCTCTGGGCCTCGTGAGGGGTGCTCTGGAGGCCGCCAGGGCCTCGGAGATCCCGGGGGCACCTTGGGCCAGGGGCACTCCCAGCGCCACCCGGGCATGCGGAGCACCTGTGCTCCAAGCAGGGCAGACCCTTTCAGTTTTGGGCGCGCGAGCCGCGCCACGGCGCGCGCGCGGCGCGCGCGGCGGCGCTCGCGCGGGGCGCGCGATCGGGCCCCGGAGCGCGGCGGCGATGCGGCGAGGGCGCGCACGCCTCGCGCGCGGGGGGCGCGCGCTTCGTGTGGAGCCCCGGGCCGCCGTTGGTCGCTCGGTGCCGCCGCAGGCGAGGCCTCCCCGCCCCTGGGGGGGAGGGGCAGCAGCGAGCGAGGGGGGGGCGAGACAGGGGGCGAGGACGGGCGAGGAAGGGGCGAGGGCGCGGGGGGGGCGAGGGCGAGGAGGGGCGAGGGGGGGGGGGCGAGGCGGGTCGAGGAAGGGAGCAGAGGGGCGAGGGAAGAAGGGCGAGGAGGGGGCCCCAGAACTCCCTCCTCGGGGGGAGTGCTTTTGGGGAGCCCGGGGGGGGTTCGGAGGGTTCCCACCCGGAACTCCCTCCTCAAGTTTTGGGCGAGGTTGCCTTCCGCCGCGCCGCCGCGCGCGGGCCAGCCCCCCCCCCCCCCCCCCGGCTTCGCGAGAGAGTGGCCCTTCGCTGTGGTGACCTCTCCTCCTCTCCTCCTCCTCCTCCTCCTCCTCCTCTCCTCCTCCCTCCTCCTCCTCCTCCTCCTCCTCCTCCTCTCCTCCTCCTCCCCTCCCCTCCTCCTCCTCCTCCTCCCCCCCCTCCTCCTCCTCCTCCTCCTCCTCCTCCCTCCTCCTCCTCCTCTCCTCCTTCCTCCTCTCCTCCTCCTCCCCTTTCTTTCCTCCTCCTCCCTTTTCTCCTCCTCCTCCTCCCCTTTTCCTCCTCCTCCTCCTCCTCCTCCTCCTCCTCCTCCTCCTCCCTTTTCCTCCTTTCCTCCTCCTCCTCCGCCTCCTCCTCCTCCTCCTCCTCCTCCTCCCTTTTCCTCCTCCTCCTCCTCCTCCTCCTCCTCTCCTCTCCTCCTCCTCCCTTCTCCTCCTCCCCCCCCCTCCTCTCTCCTCCTCCTCCTCCTCCTCCTCCGCCTCCTCCTCCTCCGCCTCCTCCTCCTCCGCCCTCCTCTTCCCTCCTCCCTCCAAGGGGGCCCCCTTCAGCACCGGTCTGCGCGCTCGGCGCTGGCCTGCCCGCGGCCCCCGGAGGCTGCGCACCAGAAGCCACTCGTACCATGGGGCCGCTCACGCCTGGGTGCAGTCGATCCCCGCCCCCGGGAGGGGGGAGGGGGAGGAGGAGGAGGAGGAGGAGGAGGAGGAGGAGGAGGAGGAGGAGGAGGAGGAGAAGGAGGAGGAGCGATTAGGAGGGGAGGTCAAGGAGGACAGGAGGAGAGGAGAGGGAAGGAGGAGAGGAGGAGGAGGAGGAGGAGGGGAGGGGAAGGAGAGGAGGAGGAGGAGGAAGAGGAGGAGGGGGAGGAGGAGGAAGAGGAGGAGGAGGAGGAGGAGGAGGAGGAGCGATGAGGAGGGGAGGAGGAGGAGGAGGAGGAGGAGGTCGATGACCGCTCCCTCCTGGGAGCGAGGAGGAGCGGGGCGGGGAGGGGCGAGAGCAGGGCGCAAATCCAGGCAGGTCACGGACAGCCACCACCACGCGGGCAATCGCAGACATGGATCGAGGGGGGCGTGGATCAGCGATGGGGCCCGTTTCCATGGGACATCGCGGACTTCCGCCGCCGAGCGAGGCGGCACCGGCCGCGTTTTGGGGAGGGCACCTCCCTTGGCGACCGCGCGCCAAATCCATGGATCGCTAATCCATGTTTGCGCGCCCCCGAACCGGCAACCTCCACGGCGGCGACGACGACTGCGAGGGCCCACGGACAGTTCTTGGAACGCCTCCTGGCACGGATCTCGACGCGGATCCACCAGCGGCCACAATGGCGCGCCGACGGAGGCCAAAAAATTCCAAGCGTTCCCCCGGAAGCCCAAATCCTCGATCGACGGCGGCGGCGGCGGCGACGACGACGACACTGACGACGACGACTGCATCGACGACGAGAACGCCCTCGGCGAGGATGCCGTCGTCGTCGTCGTTGTCGTCGTCGTCGTTGTCATCATTGTCGTCGTCGTCGTCGTTGTCGCCATTGTCGTCGGCGTCGTCGTCGGCGTCGTCGTCGTCGTCGACGTCGGCGTCTGCGTTTTCGTCGTCGTCGTCGTCGTCGAGGGCGCCGCCGACGCACCCGACAGCGGCGACCGCCGCCGCGTCTCCTCGGCTCGAGAGGCCACGGGCGCCGCGGGGGCCAGCGCGGGGCCCGGCGCGCTCTCGCGGGGCGCATGCGCGCGCGCACGCGCGCGGGGCGCGCGCGGGGCCGCGCCCAGGCCTGCGGGCCCCGCTCGCCCCCGGGGGCTCCTCCTCCGCCGCTTGCTCCCCTCTCGGTCTTCTCCTCCTCCGGCTCCTCCTCCACCTCCTCCTCCGGCTCCTCCTCCTCCTCCTCCTCCTCCTCCTCCTCCTCCTCCTCCTCCTCCTCATGTTTCTGTAATGTCTTGTTCCCCTAGCTCTGCCGCGCTTCCCTCTATTGCGGCACGAGCTTAAGCCTGCTACAAGCAGGCCTGCAGAGGAGTCGGGCGTTGAGCTCAAAAAAAAATGTTCCCCTAATGAAACGATCCATCGCTCACGCTGCAAATCGATCCTTTCGGCGCGTTCGTTTGGGCGGAGAGGGAGGTGCCACTCGGGATTGCCGGACATCAGCCCTCGAAGGCCAGGCGGCGGCACCGGAGCAAGCACCCCTCCGCCTTTAGCGTCGACTTGCGTCGACTAGCGTTAAGTCGTGCGTGTCCCCCATACAGGGGGATGTTCGACGAAACATAAAACATATTCAAAAAATATTCCAAAATGGTCAAAGAATGCTCAAAAAGTAGTCCCCAGACTATTTCTGGACTATTTTTGAATATTCCCCCTGTAGAGGGACAGGCTCGACTTAAGCTTGGTCCTCCCTCGGTCTTCTCCTCCTCCGGCTCCTCCTCTTCCGGCCTCCCTCTCCTCCTCGACCGCCCCCCCTTCACCCCCGGTTTCTCCTCCTCGGTCTCCTCTTCGCCCCCCCCCCCCCCCGACGTCTTCCACTCCTCCGTCTTCTCCTCCCCCAGCTTCTCTCCTCCTCGGTCTCCTCCTCGCCCTCCACGGCGTCTCCTCCTCCTTCTCCTCCGACTTCTCCTCCTCCTCCGGCTTCTCGTCCTCGGTCTTCTCCTCGCCCCCCTCGGCGCCGTCTCCTCCTCCCGTCTTCTCCTCCTTCCTCGGCTTCTGTTGATGATCCCTGCGCTTCAGCCTCCAGGAAGATGACGCGCGTCGCCCCCAGACGGCTGCGGCCACGAAGATGCGAGGCGTGAAGCGATGTCTGACGTGATCACCTCCTGCCGCACGCTGACTCCGCATCTCCGCTCGCCCGCGCCGCGCGCGCGCCCGAGGGGTGCCCCACTGCGAGGGCGGGCCGTGCCCGGCGCCGGGGGCTGCCTGGGTACGTGGCAACGGCCGCGCGCCCGCGAACGCGGGCGCCCACCTCCGCCGTGCCCT